AAAAAAAAAAAAAATTAAAAAGACAAAGTCTAATACTATTGGATACTCCTATTATTTTATAAGAGCATGTGCATTTCTGTATAGTGGTATTTTTCTGAAAGTATTTAGAGTATGGTAGTTGAAGGTGCCTTTGCTTATATGTTCTGTATTAACTATATGCTGTTTCACAGTATCGACAATGATTTTTATGGGCTTGGCATCTATTTTAGTTTTTGTGTGTGTATTTAAAATTTCTGTAAATCCACACGCCACTGAAGCATCAGTACCATGCACAGGAAAAGGAGTTCAGGTTCAAGCCTATCTCCTCATCGGGAAAGATCTACTGCTAGGGTCACTGAGGTTAGATCGAATGGAGCACTTTTTATGGAGAACATCAAACAAGAAGTTGAAAGTATTGATGCTGATGTAACACCTTCTCGAATACAAACTGCCTTTAAGAGTAGACCATCTCTTGATAGCCATGGGATATTAGAGACAGATACTGATGATTTGATTCGTCAAGGTGGAAGTATTTCCCTTAGAACTTGCAAGGAGGAGCATGATGCATCACCGGACAGTGGAGACTCAACATTTTCTTTATTTGCATCTCTACTGGATTCAGCTCTTCAAGGTGCTTACTAGTAAAATTGTGTTGACCTAATATAACCTTATTTACAGCAGTGCAAGGTGGCATTCTTTGATCAACAGAAAGTGCTTGGGTGATGATTTTGGATTGTTGTTGTTATGTAGCTTACATTTTGAAATTACCCTAGGGCTCCAACACTAATTATCCATTTACACTTCTTACATTTGATGATATTTGCGAGATGGGTTTAGAGAAATGGGATTGCTTGGTGCAATTGATGTCTTGGATTCCACTTCCCCCATTATGTCTTGAATTTTGATGTTTAGAGAAAAAAAACTGTGATTCTAATTTTTACTTTACCTTACCCAAATAAAACTGTGATTCTAATTTTTTGGGATTGAGGTGTAGTGGATTGATTAATTGATTTTTTTAGGAATAAAAAGAATCATGAATATCTGTATGCAGATCGAGAAGTGGAGAGGCATGAGATATATTTGTAAGCTCTGTATGGTTATATTGTGTAACTAACTTGTGTTCATGGGGTTTTGTTTGGTATTTTCTGCATGCTTATCACTATTATTCATAGACTAAAAGAACTAGTGTAATGATTTTCTTACTGTGTGGTTATGATTTCTTTTCTGGTTAAATCTTGTATCCAAGTTGTCTACATTTCTAGTAACTTACACTGATCTGATGTTAAAGTTGAGATGTCAAGATCATTAATCTTTATGTTGATTGGTACTTGAATTATTCACAATCTTTGGATTTTTTCCCTATATTTATAAGGATGGCATCCAATGCTTTCTGTAGAAGCTGGATTCAATAGGAAACTGAGAGAGAGCTAGACAGGACAGTCATGGAATTAAATTTTTGTTGAGACATAATAATCTTCTCTCTTTTGCATGGGTTCGTGCATGTGAAATAGAGAAAACTTTGAATTTTGCTCCTTTTGATTTTAAAACAAACTTCAATATTTTTGGTTCTCTCACTCTTTTACAGATAGGAAATGTTGGGTTGTATATATGGCCTGCATTGGGCTTTGGAGAACTTTTTTTACCCACCCCACCCCATCAGGAGGATCAATAGTGTTCCCACTTACCCTCTAACGTGGCTCGAACCCTCAACCTACTGGTTGATGGCGGAGGTGCTCAACCACTATAGCAAGCCTCACTTGTCAGCTTTGGAAGATCTGAACTTTAGAGATTTGGACATTATGCAGTGTAGATTAATTTACCAGTTTTCAGAAGAAAGTTCTCTTAGTATGCCATGAATGAGGGAAAATAATGTAAAGATTGATATCTAACAGTTTCTGTTTATATGTGCTGTAGGGTTAATTTCTATCCCTGACTTGATATTACATTTTGAGAATTGTTGCCGTGATGTCTCAGAATCAATTAGGTATGTATGCTGCTCCTCTTTGTCAGCTCACTAGCCTTAGCTTAGAATTCTCTTTATTGGAGCTGACCTCTATCTTTTATTACATCTACATCTTCTTGATGCCATTAATGAAATCTACTTCATAAAAAAAGTATTTCTGTTGCTCTGTATCATATGTGCATTTTATCCCAACTTGAATGTCTCTATTTGACTGTTTATGGCTATTAATACGAGAGCTGACAATGTGTTTTTTACTGTTAACCGGGAAAAATATGAGTGCCACAAGTTACATTTTGATTCTATAGTAATAAGAAGTAGATGAGTGTTTTACTGATAATAAAAGAAAAATAGAAGGAAAGACATGAATTGTTGGTTGCTGGAAATGTGCTGCACTGGATTTTAGTTGAAATAAGCTAAAACGAAAGGTGGACATTCAATTCATCTGTAATCTATGAAGAGTATGCTAGTTTAAATGATGTCTTTGTTAGCTTTTGTAGTTATTGTGAGTGCACCTTTTTTGCTCCAAAAATTCTCGAGTATCTTCAATTACATGCTTGAGTTCTTTGAAGTGATTGACAATCTCAAATTCCTGCCTCAGAAGTATTTTGCATCCTTTTAAACTTCAGCGAAAGCTGGATAAACTTCTGTCAAAGTTACTCCAGATCAACAAACTAGGATCTCGAAGTTGGGTTGACATTCACAAGGTGACACTAAGAGAGTCCACCAAGCCTTAGACTAGTTTTGCCATTTTGGTCCAAAGAGCTCTTTGTCAGTCAACCTTATTTTCTTCTTTGCCACATGCTCCCCCCTTTTTGCGGTCATTTAAATCTGTTGTGATTTGGAGTCTCATTATTACTCTTTAAAAGTGATTTTCCAGCTCTTGTGCTCCTCCTGTAGTTTAAAATAAAAGAAAAAGGAAATATCTTGGTTAAACGTGTAGATACTCCGGATTTGCTTGTTCCTATATGTGTATCCGGCCAATTGGATTGTGGAAGTCTTCTGAATTAGCACATTAGTCTTCCAAGTTTTATTTGACTGTAGTAAGTCTTTCATATTTCAGTGTATCAATCTGACTTTTCCAACAAGCCAGGGTAATAAAAATATGTGCTCTGACTAGTAGCAGAGAAACTGCTCTCCTTAGTAAATATCTTACAAAGACCTCAAATAACAGTAAGTCCTTTTCAAGTTTTCCCTTTTGCTGCCTTTCTACTTTATTGTTTAACCATTATACAGTTTCACCTGCAACTACCACTGTGAAGAGCTCTTATATTATTTGACTGATTTTCCACCTAAAGGTAAATAATCTTTAGTTTTCTTCAATCTGTTTTCATTATAAAAAAGAGAATTTTTAGTGGTTGTAATGACTAAAATAGTAAAACAACAGAAACTAAGATGCCAAATTTGTGAAAAATATGGTGTTTGCCAACATCCTCCAATGCTATTGTGAACTTTGTAGTGTAGTCCCAGATTGAGGATGTATCTAGTGTTTTTCATGTGAGACTGCAATGTCTTGTGCTCTTTTCCTGTAGGTATGGTTCTAATGAAATGCACAGAGTTATGGAGGACAAATTGATGAGACAGAAGGCACGGATTTTGCTTGACGAGGCAGCTTCATGGTCTCTCTTGTGGCATCTTTATGGAAAAGGAAATAAGTCGTCAACCTTTTAATTCCTATGTTCTTAAGTTATCACTAGAAAGTCTTGCCACTTCTTACTTTGGTAGTGATAAAATTGTGTATGTCTTTGGGCATAGTTGTTACTCCATCTGTCTTAATTCATATGGTTCGAATTAACTTTTTGATTTTTAACTTTTCGGTTATGATATTTCTTTTTAATTTTTCAATCATCATGAAAATCTATTCATTTATTGTAGATAATATTCTCAATGTAGTTTTTGAAATGTCTAAGATTCAATTTGGAAATGTTGTACTTGGTTAAAAAAAAAGATGCAATTTGGAAATATGATCTAATGGACATTATTTTCAACTTAAAACTTGATAATTTTGATGACAACTCAAATTTTCATATTAAAGGAATGGAGGGGATACTTTTCTTTCATCTACGTCGTTATAAAAATAATAACGTGTGTGCACAATTGACCCTTGGAGATAGCCTTTTGGTGTAGTATTAGAATTCATGTCCTGTAACGGTTGAATAATGTAGATCTTTCATTTCCTTGTATGTTGACAAAAGGAGTTTCATGTTCTTTCTAAATATACTCTGCATTTGGCTCTTGAAAAAGAGGTTGTGGACACGAGTTTTAAATGTGTAGTAAATCTTTGATTTTCTTGTGGGAAGCAGTTCACTAATGTCATTATTAGCTGGATCTCTTTTGTTGTGTTTCAGCAATTTTACTGCATAAAGTTTTCGTAATGAACAGAAAATAGTTTCCTGCTCAAGTTCATTTGCTAGATGTTTATTGTTATTTAAATTGAACGTTTCATCCTCTTGCAGGAAATGAAGAACTTCCTGAAGACCTTATCCTGGTGATGCATCTTTAGTTGTCAACAGAGTAGTATTGTTGCTGTTAATGTGTTTAGTTTCTTTTTTTTTGATGAAGTAAGATAATATCATTGAAAGGGCATCAGGAAGATGCCAAATTACAAGAACAGAACTTATGTTAGCTCCCCTACAAAAGACAAAAAACATTGTAAGCTCGAGTACAAGAGTGCCTATGCTAGAACCAGGGAGCTAACAAAATCCAAAAAGTGTCAACCCTATTAACAGGGAAAAGAAAGTTCCAACTGAACAAACTAACTAAACATCTAGCTTTTAAGGAATGTGTTGTTTAGTTTCTTTTATGTTTAATTTTTGCTTATCATACTATGTTCTTTGCAGTTGCCAACTACTTCACACTTAGAAGCTTGCCAATTTGTTGTGAAGAATCATACTGCACAACTATGCCTCCGAATTGTTCAGTGGCTTGAAGGATTAGCCTCCAAAGCCCTTGATTTGGATAGAAAGGTAATGAATTAGTATATGATAATTTATTTCTTGCAGTTTTCTTATTTTTGGTGGTTTTCCCTATCTGTTCATTCTTATTCCTTAAAATCAATCAAGCATATAATTTAACAGGGATGTAAATAAATCCTTTTGCAGTTTTACATGTCTGAGTTGATTATAAATATTTATGACATTGTTTCGTGCATCTCATACTGCTCCATGGACAGTTGAATGTGGATGATTGAGGTGAAACTTGATGCTTAATGTGATGAAATGGTGTCACAGATATATCCAAAAAAAGGGGAAAAATAGTTTCACAGTTTTATCTGATGTCCCTGAAGGGGCAAATGGTAGCACCGTCACGTTATAGCAGAACAATCTCAGTTTATGCCATTAAACCAATTATTGCGATTTTTGGTTAATCATGTTTCCTGGTTTGTTCTTATAATTAAGGTGTAACGTTCCAGAATATAGTACCACTACTGTTTAGTGTTTGCGAAATCTTTTTTGGAGCTTATTCCATTTTTTGAAATATGTCTCCGCAAGCTTTAAAATGCACATTACACTTTATATGTACATTAGAGAACTGCACACATTTGGCAGATCCCTAGAAACCTAATTGGTTCTAGGTGTTGAACTTTATTTGTAAATGCGGAAGCACTCTAACTGATTTTGTGAAGAAAATGGACCTTGGACCTAATTTAATCTCGAAAATTTGCTCATGAAGTGAGGATCGTCCAAGACCATATCTAGGACTCATGCATGTTGCACTTTACACCCCCTGCACATCCATTGTTGAATATCTGGTGCATGGAATAATATAATACTGGGGCCCGACATTGCATAACCAAAGATTAGACTAGTCTTGTCTTAACCATATTAGGAAGATGGACCTGGTACCTAAATCAATCCCAAAATTAGCTCATATGGTGAGGAGATCACGTTGTCTAAGATCATATAGGGCGATGATGGCTTATATACTTGACCAATGTAGGACTCAACAGGCTAACATAAGTTTCATCTTCCTTTATTTTCTGAACTTTGTGCGATTTTATCTATTAAAGATTTTTTTTGGTTTGAACTTCGTCTGGGATGTATAAATCAATCAATCAGCTAAATTCAATTTCGAATTAGCTGGCTATATTAGGGCCCATTTGGCCATAAAATAAATTTCACTTTTTTCGGAAAATTTTCACTTTTTCTGGAATCAGTATTTGGCCATGAAATTTTCAAAATTTACTATTGAATTTCGAAATTTTTCTGGAAATTTGAAAAACTCCAAAAACCTGTTTTTCAAAATTCACTTCAAATCACTCACAAAAATTCAAAAATAACTGCAAATTGTATTCATGTTCAAACACAACTCTAATTTTCAAATACTATTTTCGCTTGATTTCTTTTTTTATATCATTTTTTCCGGAATTTCACAATTCTTATATCCAAACGCCTGCGTTTAGTATTGAAAAACTGTCCATGAGGGAGACGAGAGTTTCCAAAATGCTTTTTTCAGCTAATGTTTTTTTTAAATTTTTTGGTAGTAAAGACGCACAAAATTCTCAAAAACCTAGCAAGAATCTATATTGTTATATTAAAAGCACGAAGGCTCTTAGTGAAATATCATTCGCCTTTTTTACATTAGACATAATTGTAGTTTCAGTTACTTTCTTAATATTTAGGACATTTAATTCACCTAAAATTTTGATTATTAAATATTTCCTTATTGAATAAGTAAAAGTCCTAATATTTAGACTTTAGCCATCACAGACATGTAAGATATTAATTAAATCAGAACTAACGTGAGTATTTTACCATCCAAAGCAAAGTTAACTTCCATGTTAGAATCATCCCTCGATAAATTTAAAAGAAAACAAGAGAAAGACTTTGAGTAATGCTGTTATTTAAAAAATGTGAATGAACTAATATTCGTATTCTAAATTCAATTATGAATTTACCACTTTTAATATTCTGGAATGTTTTGTCATTCTATTTAATTAAAAAAGAACTTCCTACCCTTCAAAAGTATATTTCATATTAGACAAAATAATGATTTAGTTATTTTTGTAACATTTAGGACTTTAAATTCGACTAAAATTAATATTAGGATTTTAGAATTAAATATTAGAAAGATAATCAGTTGGATAACTCAAAGAATCACCTAAAATTAATTACTGCCAAAAGTGTTCCCTGAACTCAAGTAGTGTGTCACTAAAATGTTATCAACGAATAACTTTTAAGTAGTTAACTATAATTCTATTTTATAACTCAAAAAATCTTAAAATATGTATGTAGATAAAATAAATATTTAAACAATATTGTAATGATTTCAATGAATACACGTTAAATCTTTTTGAGATTTTTTTTTTGGATGAAGTAAGATGTTATATTAATAAAAGCATCAAGAAGATTCATAGTTGCAAAAGTTGAGGTGCAAAAATGAAAGAAAAACTAGTCCCTTTACAGTATGTCAATCTAAGACAAGGGTGCTAACAAAGTCCAAAAGATGAGCAGAACTAATTACATTAGCTAACTTAGTCCAACAAAAAAGATTGAGTAGGCATATAGCTTTGAGAGAGTGATTTGGAGTTGAGATCCCATCAAAGCATCTACTATTCCTCTCATTCCACAAACACCAAAAAATAACTGCAAGGATCATCAACCAGATCTTCTTGATGGTCTTATCAACTCTCCATTGACTCCAGCTCAAGTGTGCCTGTTTTATGTTTTGCGGCATAACCCATTTGAGGCCAAAAATACAGTAAAACATGTTCCAAAATCAGTGGCCAGTGGGCAAAACAAAAACAGATGGCTGACTGTTTCCACGTTCTCCCTGCACATATAACATCTATTGACCAACTGAAGGTCTCTCCTGTTGAGATTATCTTGTGTCAAGCAAGCTTCATGGAGAACAATCCAGTCAAAGCAAATTACTTTAATAGGCAACTTAGTTTTCCATATTAATTTCCATGGCCATGCATCAATCACTTGGTTTTGAGAACATAGTTGCCTGTAACATTCTTTCACTAAGAAAGTGCCCTTACTCCCCAAACAAATGGTGTCTGGTGTACTTGCATTCATGTTGAACCTTTCCACTATGGCAAGCAATTCTATCAAGTTGTCCACTTCCCAATCTTGCACTGCTCTTCCGAGATGAACATCCCAATTATTGCCACTTCAGTCCTGAGCTATGGAGGAGTTTTTGTCCAATGCAATCTGGAACATGCTAGGGTATTTATCCATGAGTGTAATGTTGTTGAGCCATTTGTCTTTCCAGAATCTGATATGTGCTCCATTGCCTGCTTTGAAGTAGGATTCCTAGAAAATTCATTCCCCAATTTCCTGATGTACTTCAAAGGGCCCACTCCATAAGGTGAATTAGAGACTTTGGTGCTCCAGTTGTCTTTTTTCCCATGCTTTGCAATAATCACCTCCTTCCAGAGGCTTGATTCCCCTGTGCCATATCTTCAAAGCCATTTCATTAGTAAACACTTGTTGTGGACCTCTAGAGATCTCTGATACCCAATCCTCCCTGGTGCTTTGGTTGTATGACTTTATCCCACTAAATGAGATGAAACCTGTAGTGCTGCTGTTCCCTTCCCATAGAAAGTCCCTCCCAATTTTATCTAATTGCTTTAACACCTTTTTAAGGGTAGGAAACAATGACATGTAATAAGTTGGGATGCTGTCAAGTACACTATTGATAAGAGTTAGTCTTCCTCCCATGGAGAGGTATTGCAATTGCCATGATGCTAATCTCTTTTCAAACTTTTCAATAATCCCACTCCATATCTCACAGCTTTTGAATTTGACAACTAGTGGAAGGCCCAAGTATGTGGTAGGCAAGTAGCCAATACTGCAACCCATGATACCTGCTAATTCCTCAATGTTAGATACATGGTTGACTGGATAAATGATACTTTTCAACACATTAACATGTAGCCCAGAAAGAGCTTCTAATAGGAGGAAAGCCAGGTTTAGGTACATAAGTTGTGACTTTTCAGCCTCACAAAAGATTAGAGTATTATTTGCATACAGCAGATGAGAAACAGAGACTGAACTCCCAATGTTTATCCCTACTCTGAAGCCTTGAATCCGTTGTAGTTCTCTGGCCTTTTCAAGCATTTTGCTTAAACCTTCCATGGCAAGTATAAATAGGAGAGTGGGATCCCTTTCTGAGGTGAGAAGAAACCCACAGGTTCTCTGTTGACCAACACTGAATATTTGACTGTTGTTATGCTGAATCTAATCCACCTTCTCCATTTGTCTCCGAATCCTATCTTCCTTAGAATAGAAATTAGATAGGACCAATTCAGCTTGTCAAAAGCTTTTTCAATATCAAGTTTGCATATAATGCCAGGCTCCCCAGATTTAAGCCTCCAATCTAGAGCCTCATTGGTTATAAGTGAAGCATCAATTATCTGCCTGTGCTTAATGAAAGCATTTTGATGACTGGAGACTAATTTGCCAATAATCTTCTTCAATCTTTCTGCTAGTAGCTTGGCCACAATCTTATAGACACTGCCAATTAGACTTATTGGTCTGAAGTCTCTAAGTTCAATAGTCCCTTTCTTTTTTGGAATCAAGGCAATAAAGGAGGCATTACATGATCTCACCTTATAGCATGAAAGTGATTGAGTGCCCCCGTCACTTCTGGTTTGATAAACTCCCATGTTCTTTGAAAGAAAGCGATAGTGAAACCATCTGGCCCAGGAGCCTTATCTGAGGAACAGGAATTAATGGTTTTATGCACTTTTTCTTTGTCAGAAACTGAGACTGAACTCCCAATGTTTGTCCCTACTCTGAAGCCTTGAATCCGTTGTAGTTCTCTGGCCTTTTCAAGCATTTTGCTTAAACCTTCCATGGGAAGTATAAATAGAAATGGGGAGAGTGGGATCCCTTTCTGAGGTGAGAAGAAACCCACAGGTTCTCTGTTGACCAACACTGAATATTTGACTGTTGTGATGCTGAATCTAATCCACCTTCTCCATTTGTCTCCGAATCCTATCTTCCTTAGAATAGAAATT